TAGCTGAAATGGCGTCTTGGTGAGTAACTTATTTTGAAAGGGACGGACCCTAGGTTATTTGTAAACTGTTCTCACGTGAACATTTATTGCGTGAACTCGGGAGACTTTCTATTTTCTTGTCTTGCATTCTTCTTTGGTGGTAGTAAATATTCTCTTTTAGTAAAGTCCACACAAATAAGTACAAGATGACAGTAATTGCACGATGTGCAGACGACAGCTGTCATTATTATAAAGTCATTGACGACATTCTTGATCCAGTTTTCAATGATGAGGTACCCCTTTGGTTAACGTCAACACTGTGATTTTTGAGTAATAGCCTATAGATGGTATTTAGGGAAATTTAACTTCGTGGATAAAATAGGAAAAAATAACACTAAACAGTAACTGTATGTTTGTTGTTAGCCCTGCGTACAGTGCTGTGTTGTACGGGGACGCGTTCGGTTGATAGATGTCCCGACCACAGCCCTGCGTACCTCCATAGACAAAGTCCGGGAGCGCACCGTAATTGGTGCGCAAGTTAAAAATAAGTAGTTTCCCAGCCGAAATCGGTTGAAATGACGATAGTTATCCGTAACAACCATTACAAAGTTATCTGAAACTGAAATGTCTTTAAATAACAACTAGTAAAGACGGACAAATTGTAAACGCGTAGGTACCGGAGGAATTATCCACCAAACGCCGCCATTTTTAATTTCATTCACGCGAGAGAATCGTTTGTTTTTAGGGCAAAGTAGCCGATTTCATCCAAAATTGGACTCCGAGCTGGGAGTTCTGGATATATCTGGTAATCGATCATCATTATTGGTACCTAAGCATGTTATTTCATTAAAAAAGTTATATTTTTCAAAGTCCCGGACTTTGTCTCTGGAAGTTTGCAGGGCTGTGGTGGGGACATCTATCAACCGAACGCGTCTCCGTACACACAGCACTGTACGCAGGGCTAGCCTCACTCATGAACCTAGCCGTGGGGTTGTGACTCCGGAGTATAATTTTGACGATACCTTAATTGTCTCTTCTTTCAAAATACATGTAATTACAAAGTCTTGAATTGATCTAGAATCACCCGTCACCCCCCTACCTGTCCTGAGCAATAACAGATAATGTTTTTATAAACTTTCAAAGCAAAATCAATGTTCCGTGTCGACCAGGACCACTTTGCTTCAATGCTGTCTTCACATTTATAGGAACACAAAATAAATATAACAGAATGCGACAACTAAAATAAACATGTATATACTACATATGAGGCAGCGGCACCAAATTTTGCATGGAATGCAAGATCTGTTCAACATTCATCACGCCTAAACACTATTCCCTGCATTTTGAGGGGCAAATTTTGCTGACTTACATAGCGGTAGTTTTAAGCGAAAAATACACAAAAGGTTTCAGCTTGATTGGGGGGGGGGGGCACCCAAACATTTTTTCCAGGTGGACGATGACACTGTACATACAAAAGATATACTAGTAGCACTTTCTGATTGAACAAAAAGTTTCACTTGTGATAGACAAGTACTTGTTTTCATAACAAAGCCAGCTGTCACAAAATACCAGGAAATGTGACCTCTATGAGGCATCTCATTGACCTCAATGTATTGTGTCTTGTTTTTTTTTTATTGTGGGTGGACCATTAGAAACTCTGTGAGTTTCCAGTCTGTGTAATATTTTTTTTATAAGATTTAGGAATGCAAATTTGTTTTTCTGATATTAATTAATTAATTGCAATTTTTTTCCTTTTTAACCATCTCCCAGAGTTTCTAATGGTCAACACTTCAAAGTTGACAATTTAATAAGTCTAGTTTTGTTATGTCACTCCAAAATAGAAGAACCCTGTGTTCTCTCTAAAGAAAAG